TAGACATTTTTGAACCCCTTTTTTTCTTACTAGCACTGCGATTTAGATCAAAATTGAAACAGGATGTAAATATTTCACCCTTTGTGAACCATTTCATGCTTAAAAATCCGCGGGCACTCGATACATTTTTGCATGCCAATCAAATGAAAATGTATACCTGAGACAAAACAGTAAATTTTCGCAACTTTTGTTCGCCGCTACCTTTCTTCTAAATCATGTCTTTGGGGCGATGTTAAGCAAGAACGTTGGATGGTTCCTATAGATTTTATTCCTTCACGTTTTACAGTTAGTTATCGAGCAGATTAACGATTTTTGGTTTACAAAAACAGGCATCGTGTGGTTGGCGGTTAATTTATGCAAATTACTACCCGCGATATAACTTGGCAGGAAAATCTACTTCGACGTTTTCCAGCAAAATAAATCGCTTCGATGGTATTATTAATAGATAACTGACACATTACAGACCATTAACAAAGCAATCAATGCGAGAAACATTTCAGAGCCAAAGTCAAAATCACTCACAAGTCACGGATAGATCTCATCCATGCATGTCGTTGCGTTAAAACTCCTTCTCTCATCTTCGCATCTTCAATCCACACCTCTAAGTTTCCTTTCACTTTGACAACCTGCCAATTTACTGCTGCTGCTTATAGAAAGACGTAATTTTCTTCACCGCAGAAGAAAATGTAGAAAATGGTGTTCTGTTGGATTGTCTTGCAATTTTCCAGCAGACTTTTCAAGGTAACGTATCTTAGTCACGCAATGTGTCACGTCCTAAGCGCTACCGCCTCGAGCTTGACACCATTATTTTTTTGATACGGTACTTCTTTCCTCTACTGTACGAATATTAAAATCTTCAAGAATTCATGAAAGTGACATTAAGTATAATGTCAGAAAAACAGTGAACCCCATTTTATTAATTAGACTTAGACCCTTCTGAAAGTGCTATTTAACCTGTTTGAATTGGACATATTGTTGATCAAAATTCAAAGCCGACTTGAATCCCGCGGGGTACTCCCTAAAATGGCCTATACGGAAAGGCTCCACCCGAAAGGGATACCATTTTCAGGTTTTAAGTCTATGAGAGGGTTGGGATTTCACTTGTTGACGTATATGAAAGGATAGGGAAAACTGTCATTTCGGTTGGTAAAAAAGCCCAAAAAGGGCTTACAGATGCATTACATGCGTGTGGAAAGAGCTGAGTAAATGGTCTGGTTTTGTGATTTATTCATATTTTAAAGACAGTGCATTTACAGCAGTTAAGAGGGATGCAATGTTCTAAACCAGGAATGTGAAAGAGGTACCATTGCCAACAGAAGGTATAAGAAGGGGTATCTTTTCTGTCGAAAATGATATATAAAAGGGTAAAGGGCTGACCTCCCGGCGGAGCCTCCCTGTATAAAACTTTGTTGAGAACCCCCAGGACTTCAGTCTTTGCTGAATTCCTAAAGATGCTTTGCTTCTATACAGAACAAGGTGAAATTATTGTTAACAAAATTTCCACCATTAATCAGTGTGCTAGAGATATTACCGGACATTTTGCAAGTATTGTAGCTGAAGGTCCTGAGGGAGACGACAAAACTGCAATTCGAGTCGGAATTTTTTGGCGGCTTTTCCGTTTCATGCAAGCTAAAACACAAAAAGAATTTACGTAAGCCTTATTAATGTCAGCCGGGTGTTTTTCCTTTTTTTGTTTTTGTTTTTTTTCCCAAAGGGTCCCAAAGAAATGTACTTAATTCGTGACTTTCCCAAGAACATCCAGTGGTAAATTAATTCATTGTAAAAATTAACCTTTACTTTATAATCAAACAGAATTAAAATGAGCTTAACTAAACAAATCGTTAGCATTTTTCAGAATTGTTCCATGTTTCCTAAATTGACATTAAGAATATAGCTTGTATGGTCATAGGAAATATCTGCTTTGCAAGAAAGCATAATAGTGCCCAGTCTCCTTTTGCGCAAATTGTTCTCTTGTGTCGGGGATTTGGCAAAACCCGCTTCCCCTTGGTATACAGGACCCGCTCACAGTCATACTAACAGTAGATACCTAGCATAAAACGATGAGGAGCGTAAACCGTCTTGAGAAAGAGTGTGACTGGCCCCCTGCGTCAACTCCCGGCGTCAAATAATCCCTCAAAGTTAGAACAAAAAAATTGTAAATATGTGCGACTAAATAAGCGTCTCCCACGTAGTCTCCCACCTTGCATGACACGAAAAACGAAAGTGCCCCCAAAAATCTGACTCAGACTTCAGTTTCTTCGACTCCGGTGGTAATTCAATTTCGCCTTGTGACTTGTTCTCTTTAGGAGCAAGGCCTTCATACAAATTCAGGAAGACAAGTCGGCTTTGAAACTTTTTGATCAGCAAGATGTCCAACCGAACAGATCAAATGACACTTTCTTTCTAAACCTACATAGGATTGGGTAAACTGTTTTTCTGATTTTATGCTTAATGAAACTTACACAAATTCATGAAGATTCTAATTTTTGTGTAGAGGAAAGAAAAATTATAAAATCGGTGCTGCGCTTGTGACGTGACACATTGCGTGACTAAGATACATTACCTTGAAGACTGTGTTGAACATGTAAAGAGAATCCCACAGGGTACCATTTTCATGGACGGTAAGGAAAAATATGTTTCTCTCCATCATAAGCAGCGGCAGTAATTTGGCAGGGTGTCAGTGTGAAAGGAAACTTTGTAGATATGCACTGAAGATGAGGGAAGGGATTTGAATGCCGCGACATAAAGGAACCGTGACTTGTGTGTGATTTGACTTTGGTTCTGAAATGTTTCTCGCATTGATTGCTTTGTTAATGGTCTGTAATGTGTCAGTTATCTATTAATAATACCATCGAAGCGATTTATTTTGCTGGAAAACGTCGAAGTAGATTTTCCTGCCAAGTTATATCGCGGGTAGTAATTTGCATAAATTAACCGCTAACCACACGATGCCTGTTTTTGTAAACCAAAAATCGTTAATCTGCTCGATAACTGACTGTAAAACGTGAAGGAATACAATCTATAGGAACCATCCAACGTTCTTGCTTAACATCGCCCCAAAGACATGATTTAGAAGAAAGGTAGCGGCGAACAAAAGTTGCGAAAATTTACTGTTTTGTCTCAGGTATACATTTTCATTTGATTGGCATGCAAAAATGTATCGAGTGCCCGCGGATTTTTAAGCATGAAATGGTTCACAAAGGGTGAAATATTTACATCCTGTTTCAATTTTGATCTAAATCGGAGTGCTAGTAAGAAAAAAATGGGTTCAAAAATGTCTATTTTTAAGCCTTGTATAAAAACGTTTCCCCCCCTTGTAAATGACAATAAACAGGGGCCGTCAGGGGGGGCCTAGAGAAAAATTGATAACATTTTTATTGAGAGGAAGGATGATATTTTGCTATCATGTAAACAGATTTTTAACTGTTTGTCTGCTTTCTGAAATATTTACCTAACAAAACTCCAATTTTCAAGGAGAAAATTGTCCCAAAAAATGCAATTTTTGGCCCAAACTTCCCCCCCTAATGCCCAGTGCAGGTTTTTGTTAGAAGTCAAACAAATGCCACAGTGAGTAGTTTCATCTGAAGTACTAACTACACACAAAGTATGAGGGAAGGTTTTGTTTGACCATTTCCAATTTTGCTCAATCCTTAGAGACATTCGTTCTTAATTTATTTGATTATTTTTAGTGTTTAAGACATGTGTAGCAGCTATAGCTATTATGTAAAGGATGCTTTGGGAATTGGGAAGTGTCGAGAAACGCGGCTGCAAGTAAAATAAGTAATGGCGTCATTTCTTGGTTAATGTAAATTATGGCGACGTAGTTTGTGCTTAAACTTGGGAGGTGTTGACCCTGAAAAACCCTATCGAGTCATGAATGAATAGGAAGTAGCAAGCACAATCAAAATAAAACAAAATCAACGCTAGTCTAAGATATGACAATGACAGTTGTAAAATCAAGCTAAGCAATTGGAGATTATAGCACGAAAAAATTCCAAGGCCCTGAACGGGATTCACTCTTAAAGCCAATGTCCTAAATATGCGGATGTTGCTTACTGTGAAATCTCTGACAGTGCCTGCAGAACCGTCCAACTAGAATTTTACTTTGAAGCATTCAAAGAAACACTTCAAATGACCTAAAATTTAGTGCGCTAAAACTGATTCAGTCTAAAGATGACTACTGCAAAGGTTGTCGAAACGTCTGTCACTGTACATCAGTCCCATCAAGACTGAACTTAATTAACTGATGAACTTCATTAATGAGACACGTCTTGTAGCTGGCTACACGTAGCCTACGAATCGAGGACATCTAATTGCTGAAGTCTCATTTAGTATGAGATTACATTCCGACTATAATCCACCCACCCGGACTATCATATTCCACCGACACTTAGTTTCAATACTTACCATTGTATTCCGGATTTGTTGCACACACTGCAATGGAACAAAAAGTGTAAATTGTTTTTATAAATAATTTAAGAAAAGCACGAAGCGATAGAAAAAATGTGAAAAAGAAACATTCATTGAAAAGCTCAATTGGTTAAAGAGTTATTAGGCTTTGATTTTTAAATTCTCCCTCAATTTTTTTACTATTTTTAGAAACATAAGTAGATAACAGGATTTCTGAAAACCGGGTTAGCAAAAAAACAAACAAACAAACAGAATGTATTTTCTACCGGTATGTTGCAATTCTCTACAGGCCTTTCTGCCACCTTCTGATTGGTTCCTCTACACCATAAATTCGTCCGCGTAGAATGCGTTCTTTCTCTCTCTCGCATTCCTGTTTCCGGGGTGTTTACCGTTCGTTTTACCGCAGAGATGTCTGATGTGGAGTCAGTTGTAGAGGAATCGAAACCTAAAGATCCTTCAGCGAACCCTAAATCTCAAAGTTTCGAGCTGTTTGATGAAGTATTTTCCTTGTTTAAAGGATACTCGAGGCACAAGGGAAATTAATAGAAGGTCAGTCGAAAATACAGAAGTCCGCCTCGGAATTCAAATTCAAAGGTAACAGGAAGCAATTCGAGTTTAACGCCAGGCTACAAAGTCCTCTCTCCAGAATTAAGAACAACGCTGACGACCCAAGTCAGGTAAATACTTTGGTTCAGGAAGCTGAGCAAATTATTCGCAAGAGGCTAGCCTGCGTAGCAAGCGTTTCCAATCGAGTTATTGCGCGAAAGTTAGAGCGGAAGCAAAAAAAAGGTTGAAGGGGGAGGGGGAGGGGAGAAGAGGAAACGCTTGCCGGCAAACCCCACGATTCTGAAAAACGCCCCTTGATATTTCACGGTTCGGTTAATTTGTAAATTGACAGCTCGTCAAAATAGAAACATAACGAACAGATTACCCCTGGATTACCAGATTTGTAAAATTACTTTGTTGTCTGATAGAACACGTTGCAGGCGATTGCAAGAACTGTAATAAAAAAGATTTACGATAAAAGAAAGTTAAAACTCTGAGCGATTGCTGCGGAATTTCTTGTTTTTTATTGTGTGGCTTTATCTCGTCTGAAACCTTGTCGACACGTCAAAAATGATTTGTCCGGAACAATTCACTCCGCCGGATATAAGTTTTGCAGAGCGGCTGCTAGCCTGTGTCGAAACGTTCTACAATAGATGCCGCTAAATTTCCAATAAACAAAAAGAATCTTTTCATTTCAAAAAGCTGACAAATCGCTTATCCATGGCAGCTTTAGCTAGTGTCGAGTACCGATGTTCTGATATGTTGATGTTATCTCCAACAAACAGTCCATTTTTGCCAGTCAGATCTGCACGCCACCATTGTCAATAAATTGGCCTTCCCTAGTCTCCACTGCTCCATCCCCAATTATACTTTGACGACTCTGATCTCATAAACCTTCGCACAAACACGATTCCAATAAATATCAGTCCCAAGCATTTGTACTCTGCGACCACAAATCAGATGAGACCAGATCTGTGACGCACGAAAACAAAGCATACGTGTTTGATTGATGTTTCGAATGCTAAGTAATCAACACTACTCGCACCGCGCCAATCAGAAGCTGCGTTCGTGGGCGAACGCAGTTTTTCAAAATCGTGGGGTTTGCGGGCAAGCGGTTCCTTCGTTCCCCTCCCCCTCCCCCGTCATTCATGTTTTTTTGCTCTTGTCCCAGCTTTCTAGACGAACCTCGCGAGGAAACGTTTGCTACGCAGGCTACAAGAGGCAGAAATTAATACAGATTGCGGACCGCAGCAAGGACTGTTGGTTGTTTGTTCAAGAATATGAGTCAGACGACCTCGCCTCAAACTCCGAAGACGAGAAACACTTCAAGAAAGCGAAAAATGCAGCGGAAAAGAAGAGGAAGAATCCTAAAAGGTCAAAGTTGGTTTCTTCGAAAAGTTTCAAGTCTGACGATGATAAACAGCTTTTTCGAGGTAATATTTTTCTTTTATCTGCTTTACTCTGTTATTTCTCACGTGGTTGGAATGCCTGAGCATCCAAGCATCAAATAGTGTTGGTTGTTTTGTACGAGTTACATGTAAGAGGAAAATAATTTACGTTCGTTTGAGCGAAGCGAATTAGAACGAAAATGTATTTTCCGCTGGTATGTTGCAATTCTCTACAGGGCTTTCTGCCACCTTCTGATTGATTCCTCTACACCATAAATTCGTCCGCGTAGAATGCGTTCTTTCTCTCTCTCTCGCATTCCTCTTTCCTGCCTGTAAACGTTCGTTTTTGCGTCCTCCCGCCCTGTTAATTTTGTTTCAGAATAATTCGCATTTTGTTTTTTTCTTGTAGGCCGCGCAGAATTTGGTGCATACCGTTCCAACATCAGATGTTTCAGGTGTCAACGTCTTGGGCACTAGGCGAAGGATTCTCGAGCCACACGGCCGGTCTACCAGTCAGCAAACCGCAGCGGCTTCTCTTATTCGAGCGATGCCAACCTTACTAATAGATCAGCAGCTAAGTGATGATTTAAGCGATTACCCTATTCCTAAAGACATCTTACAGGTACCTTTTGAATTTGAGTCAAGTCTATCGGATTCTCTTCGGGTTAAAGGGAATCTTAAATATAAGATTCAATTTTGGCACCACATCGGCGCCCCGAGTCCAATTTTGTCTATTGTAAGAGACGGATACACGATCCCTTTCGAACATTATCCTCCGGGAATTTTTCTCAGAAACCAAAGGTATTCATTAACACATGCAGCCTTTGTTGCGGATGCAATTTCGAACTTACTTCAATCTCATCGCGTTGTGGAACTTTCATCACCCCCTTGCGTTGTCAACGCGTTGTCTGTCTCAGTACAAGCAAACGGTAAGAAGCGACATATACTAGATCTAAGGCATGTTGATCAGTATTTACAAAAACATAGGGTCAAGTACCAAGACTGGAAAGTGGCTTTATCGTATTTTCAAAAAGGCTCCTACATGATTTCGTTTGATCTTAAAAGCGGTTATCCCCATATTGACACTCGTGCTGATTACCAACAATTCCTCGGTTTCGCCGGGAAATGGTCTGACGAGCCTTCCTTCAGGTTTTTCGCTTTTACAGTGCTGCCTTTCGGATTGGCCTCGGCTCCCCATGTTTTCATCAAATGCCTGAGGCTTATAGAAAAGTATTTCAGATTCCAAGGGGTCAGGATAGCTTTATTCGTAGACGACGGTTGGTTTATTGAGAACAGTCTTAACGCAGGTCGAATTTTATCTTGCAAGATAAAAAAGGATTTGTACAAGCTGGACTTGTCACAAATGATGAAAAATCTATTTGGCAACCTTCTCAATCCATCGAATGGCTTGGGATAATTTGGAACTCTGTTCATGGCAACATTCATATCACTGGTAGAAGTTCATCTAGTATCGAAGCCAGCATAGTCAGCTTTGTTAACCAAACCTTTGTTGTTTCCGCCAGAGAATTGCCGTCCTTCACAGGAAAAATCCTTTCCGCCGGTGCTGTTTTCGGTAACATTTCTAGAATCATGACGAGACATTGCGCGATTTCAGTTGTAGCTGCGGCCGATTGGGACACCAAATTTGCTTTAGACAATTACTGTGTCGGAGAGATTCAATTTTGGAAAAGTAATTTGTATCGACTAAACACGAAGAATATTGATCTCCCACCTATTACTTCCAATTATGCGATTTATTCGGATGTAGTGCCACTGGTTGCGGCGCCCACATAGATTTAAATGGCACTCAAATATGTCACAAAAAGTGGAATGAAGAGGAGTGTAAGAAAAGTTATACTTGGAGAGAACTTTCGGCAACAGAGTTCGCTTTAGAATGTTTCTTTCCATCGTTCAATGTTCCTACATTAAGTGGTTTTCAGACAATCAAGCAGCTTGCAGTATAGTTCAAGTGGGAAGCATGAGTCATGATCCACATATTATTGCTATAAATATTTTCAACTTGTGTGCTGCTAACAACATAGAGCTAGAAATACAGTGGATTCGAAGGAACGAACTGGAAAAAGCGGACTTCATCGGTAGCATTATCGACATTGATGATTGGCAATTTTCCTACGGTATATTCCTTTTTCTCGATAATTCTTGGGGTTTGCATACATTGGATTGTTTTGCTAATTACTATAATTTCCATGTTGCCCAAGTTTTTCTCTCGCTATTGGAATCAAGGATGCGCGCCCGGGGTACTCCCATATATTACCTATACGGGTATGTGCCGCCCAAAGGGGTCGTGATTTTGAAGCTCATAGTTTAGAAGGGGGTATCCATTTCAGACGCGGTTTCTAGAACGGGGTTTAATATTTCGAACGCACGAAAGCTCTCCACTTTTGTAAGTAGCCATTTGAAAGCATTCAAGGACAGATTGCTTTTAAAATACGGCTCAGTGCGTTAAGAAGCAAGCCGTCGTACTCTTGTTGGACCCTAGAATGGAGTATAAAAAATTGGCCAATTTCTAGAACGGGGTGTTAGTTTTAGGGCGAATTCTAGAACGGGGTATGAAAAATTGGCCTATTTCTAGAATGGGGTATCAATTTTAGGGGAAATTTTTTCTAGAACGGGGTGCCAATTTGGAGTCCCGGGCGGCACATACCCACCCCAAAAATACCCAAGTGCCCCCCGGAGTAGATTTCCTCGTTCAGAGCCTCAAAGGCGAAAACTGCCTTGTTGTTCCTCCTGTTTGCTTAATTGTTAGAGCCGTTAATTATCTTTCTTTTCCAAAAAGCTGTTGCCACGGTTATTGTCCCTTTCTAACCTTCGTGTTATTTCCAGCCAATGATATCTAGAAAATTTTATAATTGCATCGTAGATCACAAACTCTTTATATTAGGAAGGGAGGTATTAGAACATGGTAGAAACAAAAACTCTTTATTTGGATCAGAAACGTTCCATGGGCATATTTTGGCCGTTAGAATGGATTTTAGGTAACTTAAAATTGAATTGTTTACTCGTCAGTATTTGTTTTTCTTAGGAGACACTGGTCTCTTTTTCTGCTGTGATCAGAAATATTGGTCATCGTCTGGTTTTATGAATGGACTTTTTGGAGTTGTATTCGCTGGTCCTGAGGCTTTTCCTCGTTCATTGGTTTAATGATTTTCACGAGAGGCACTGCCGTTTAATTGTCTTATTGCATGATCATCGATGTGTTTTGATGGGACTGGCGGACATTTTGTTGAGGATTGATTCGGTGGCGCTGGCCTTATGGAATCACTTTGGCAAAGAGCACTTGCCTCTTCTTTTACTTATTTTTTCCCTTTCGTTTTCTCGTTTCAGGATTTCAATTCTTATCCTGCATGGAAGAATCTGCCCGATTGTATAAAACCTGACACCACAGGAATTGTTCATTTCTTCCACAGGATCCAGAGGAGTTTCGTGTGAATAAATGAATTACTTATTTAAAGGCTCACCTTGAAAAATGTCTCTACCTGTCGCTTAGCACGATTAATTAGCCCGGCGGGATCTTTATGAGTCAATTGTAAACGATTTGTTCGCTTCTTATCTGACCCAGGTCGAGTTTGTTGTTCGCCATTTTGAAAATCAATAACTGCAAGCCATATCCTCGCTGGCGCACGGCACGTCGCTCGAAGGGCGACCGAGGCGCGAAGTGCCGTGTAAAAAAAAAAGGAAAGGGAGGAAACTTGTACTACGTGACTTGGTTCGCTCTGAACCGCACCACTCGGTGACGGAAGTGAATGAGACCAGAAACGCAAAAGCAGCAGGCTGCTACTAATTCGAGAATCAAAACATCAGCTGCGGAGGGAGTTTTAAAGATCTTAGAGATCTATGCGAAGGCAACAGAGTTTTAATTGAAGTGAAGATCTTTCAAGACTGGACATTTGTTTACATGTCAACAGTCTTTGATGTCCTAAGCAGGTTTCGCTTGTGCAAAGGCGTCCCAGCAGTCGCAAAACCCAAAGCCAAAGACGTAAGAGGTAACACTGTTGGGACTGCCGAAGAATGGCGCAGTCTTGATAATATTACAGTTGCCTTGTACCTCCGCTCTACTCAGTGTCACGTTTTATTGCAAGAGTACACACGACCTGTAAATCACTATCCGTGTTTCTCCAAACAAAACTAACGAGCTGGGCCCGGCGTGATACAGCATTGCAGAAAAACATTACATTCACGGACTAAAGAAAATCGCTTAGTTATGCAGACCCAGAGGGCAGTTTGGAGAAAATTGGAACCCTTATTCAGCCGTAGTAAAAAGCTTCACGCTTCAAAAGAGGTCAAGGAAAATGCGCTTGCATCAGAGGGCAAATCCTGCCTACCATAAACAATAACCACAGTAAATCGATATATGTGTCATGACCTCTCAGTGTGAAACATGCGGCTAAAATCACATTTGCTCAGTGAAAATGTAGAACCTTCCAGAGCATAATCTACCCAGCAGAGGAAAAAAACTCTATTGGAACGAGCAGCATTTTGGCATGAAGTAAAACTCGTGTGGGCTTACCTTCCCCTTTTATTGCTCCGATCTTGCGCACATTTACTTTACTACGTCATTTCCGTGATCATCTGTTGCGGTGCACAGCAAAAGAAAGCGCTATCTCGAAGCCGTAAATTTCGGTCGCCGAAAATGAATTTGAACGCCTTTTTATGCCGTTTTCCTACAGTATTTGGCAAATACACTCCCTTTCCGTATTTTATACTGTAAGCCGATCTTGCGAGCCCTCATTCTCTTGGTTTGCGGTATATAGAATGTGTAACGAAACTGTAACGCGATCAAAAGAACCCATTTTTCAGAGGTTTTAGACGGGTTTTGATGTTCTAACGACAAACACATCTCCTCTGGACCCTGTGTTTGCTCATGAAATCTACAGCCAATTCAACTGTTAGAGGATACCTAAACGAAATTCAAAACTTCATTACTTGGTGCAAGTCTCACAGCATCAAACTCCCTTTTTTCTGTTTCCGTCGTTTCAGTTTACATGGCTAGAGTTTATAAGGACTCTAAATCGTATGCCTCTTTGGTCCTTGTTCATGCTGCTCTAAAATGGTTCCATTCGTTCATAACTGATGATGTCCAAAATCCTCTAGATAGCCCCATTTCTCATAATTTTTTGGACGCAGCTAAACGCAGCGAGTCAAGCCCCAAAGTTAAAAAATTGCCTATTTTACCAGAAATTATGAGAAACTTGTTAGTAAGTTTGCTTCTCCCAATGCTAATTTAAGAGATCTAAGATTAGCGTGTCTTTGTGCTTTAGGCTTGCAGGTTTTTTTCGTTATAATGAATTATCTAGCATTTTGCCTCTTCATTTAGAGTTTCATACAGATTTTGTTAGAATTTTTGTCCCTCAGGCTAAGAACGATGTTTACAGGAAAGGAAATTATGTATACGTTAAGTGGTTGAATAGTCAATTTTGTCCTGTAGCGTTACTAGCAAGATATATTCTTCAGGCCGATATCGACTTAAATAGTAGTTTACACACGGTTTAGACCACTAAGGTAATACAAGTCCACGAATACGTATAAACTGTACGGTAGTAATAAGCTTTCTTATACACGTTGTAGAGAAATGTTTAAGGATTGTCTTAATTAAAGAGCTTGGGTATGATTCTAGTTTATACGGTCTTCACAGCCTTAGGCTGCGTGCAAACGGACGCAACATTGTTGAGCAACAACTCCCAACATTGTTGGATGTTATTTGTTGCGTCTGTTTGCACACCCTGTTGCATGTTGTTGGATGTTGTTGCGTGTTGTTGCGCACAGTTTGAAACCGGTCAAACTTTTCAGCCAACAACTCCTAACGTCTCTTTTGTTCCGTGATCGCCGAAGCGTAGCGCAACAATGTTGGATCCGTTTGCACAACTCTTCCAACATTGTTAGGGCCATGCACGCTCATTACGCATGGTTTGTAAAGACTTATGGGTTGTATCCTTCCCACGATGCACTGCAGGTCCCAACATTGTTGGGAGTTGTTGCATCCGTTTGCACACCACTGCCAACACGCACGCAACAACTCCCAGCATTGTTGGCGCAATGATGTTGGGAGTTGTTGCGTCCGTTTGCACGCAGCCTTAGAGCTGGAGGCGCGACAGCTGTAGTTAATAGTAACAAAAGTATCTCGGAGAGACCTCTCATGATTCACGACCGGTGGAAAACACATACCGAAAAGGACATGTATATCCTTGAAGATATTTCCAGAAAATTAGAAATTACCGGTCATTTAGGCATTTAATAAGGATGTTAATTTCTTGAACTATTGATTGTTCAAATTTACTGTCTGTTAGTCTGTAATAAAATCACGTCGGTTGGTTTTGGAGCTCAACCCTACTGGTTAGGTAACCCTCTAGTTGATGAGCCGTTGGAAGTAGACGTACATTTGAAAGCTCCGCAAACCCGGCTTGAGAAGTTAACACAACAAAGTGAATATTGCCGTTTTTGTACGTTTTCCACCATACTAACAGTTACAAACATGGGAAACAAAGATTTAGATTAAAAAACGACCGAGGATAAGCAGCTCTGGCACCGATACGGAATCTATGGAAGCAGCCCAAGATGGCGCCTACATCCAAATGACGCTAACAGAATATCAAAGTTTCTTATTAAGACTTACAGCTATCGAAGACAACACTAAAATCCGTGAAGAACGAATTCTTAATCTGGAGGCTAGTCTTGACGAAGCTCAAGTTGAAATACAAGCCTCAAAGAAACAACTCCGTGAAGTCAATAAGACAGTGAACAACACAAAAGATTCCCTTGAGTTCACCCAAGGCGAGCAAGATGACCTTGTGGAACGCGTCGCAAACTGCGAAAACGAGCAGTCAACTTGTTCGGATGAGCTGACTCATTTAAGCATCTATAGTCGCCGATGGAATCTAATTTTCTACAGAGTCAATGAGTCCAAAGACGAGAATTGTTTCTCACTGGTAGGTGACGTCTTAACCCAAAATTTAAACCTGCCACAGGACGAAGTGTCGAATATGAAGCTTTGCGGTGCACACCGTCTTAGCAAGCCAAACAGAAACAGAGCCCGACCTCTCATTGCTCGCCTCACGTTTCGTGCTGACAGAGATCGCGTCTGGAACGCTCGTCACAGGCTGAAAAACCCGCGTATTTCAATGGGTGAAGACCTACCGAAGCACATACAAGAAATCAGGAAAAACGGTCATATCCCGGCGATGAAGGAGATAAAACAAGAAACAACTAGCCACAAAGCTACCGTCGTAGGAGATAAGTTAGTTGTTAATGGAAAAGTTTATTTTCATTATGACGTGCCGAAGAAATGGCTCCCTGTCAACTCTTAAGTGAATACCTAGGTGGATTATGGCAATGGTACAGCCGAACAACAAGAACAATTGCAAAGTTGAGAAGACTCCACTGATGCTATGGTCCAGTCCCAAGAACTGCTTAGTCAAAACGAGTAGGTGACGCTTTTTCTGTAAGTCCAATCCTTTTACATGACTTTAGAATTAACTCTTAGTTGAAGACAGTTTTATTCTTACTCCGTTGTTTCTTTCCTTCAAAACCAAGCTTTATTTTTGTGTTTCCAAATACGAGGACTTTCGACCTTGAAATGGAACTCGCTATTTTCTTTCTTCTCTTACGGGTAACCAAATTTTCACCTTTCATGAAAAATCTGTTTATTTTATATTGAGAGTTAAAGTCGATGTTATTGCGGATGCTTTCTACGCTCCCTTTATGCTACCCTCTCAAGTACGCCAAACCACTTTCATGGGGTGCGTTAGAAGGCATTTTTCAGCGCCTTTTTTTTTTTTTTTTTAATTTCTGTTCATATCTCTTAAGTAAGGTTTGTCCAAGACCTTTAATAATTTATTTTATTTCTACTAGTTATGTTCTGTTTTCAGCCAGTATGTTAATTTTCATTTTTGTTGCGTTGGTTTTGTTAAGCTACATATTTAATTTTCTGCTTGTTCATTATACAGAGCTCCTTTTTTTAAAAAAAAAAAAACATCACGTCGGTATGGAATGCCTAAGCGTCCAACCATCAAATAGCGTTGTTTGTTTTGTATGTGTAAGGCTGCGTGCAAACGGACGCAACAACTCCCAACATTGTTGCGCCAACAATGTAGGGAGTTGTTGCGTGCGTGTTGGCAGTGGTGTGCAAACGGATGCAACAACTCCCAACAATGTTGGGACCTGCAGTGCACCGTGGGAAGGATACAGCCCATAAGTCTTTGTAAATCATGCGTAATGAGCGTGAGTGGCCGAAACCATGTTGGAAGAGTTGTGCAAACGGATCCAACATTGTTGCGCTACGCTTCGGAGATCACGGAACAAAAGAAACGTTGGGAGTTGTTGGCTGAAAAGTTTGACCGGTTTCAAACTGTGCGCAACAACACGCAACAACATCCAACAACATACAACAGGGTGTGCAAACGGACGCAACATGTAACATCCAACGATGTTGGGATTGTTGCGCCAACAATGTTGGGAGTTGTTGCGTGCGTGTTGGCAGTGGTCTGCAAACGGATGCAACAACTCCCAACAATGTTGAGACCTGCAGTTGATCGTGGGAAGGATAAACCCATAAGTCTTTGTAAAACATGCGTAATGCGCGTGCGCGGCTCCAACAATGTTGGAAGAGTTGTGCAAACGCATCCAACATTGTTGCTCTACGCTTCGGCGATCACGGAACAAAAGAAATGTTGGGAGTTGTTGGCTGAAAAGTTTGACCGGTTTCAAACTGTGCGCAACAACACGCAACAACATCCAACAACATGCAACAGGGTGTGCAAACGGACGCAACAAATAACATCCAACAATGTTTGGAGTTGTTGGCCAGCAATGTTGCGTCCGTTTGCACGGGGCTTTACATTTAAGAGGAAAATAATTTACGTTCGCTTTAGAAAGGCGAATTAGAACGTAACAACTCATTCTACTATTTGGCAACTTAAAACAATAAATAATCATTCAAAGGCGGATTAAAAGCCTTTATCTGACGTCGGGCAGTAAGTTAGTGGTCCCTAGAAGCATTTCAAATAGTCCAAATTTAAAATGATGCAAATGTTACAACATTTATTCAGTAATGTGACTCCGTGAATATTCAAACCGGTGTCATTTCAGTCTAGAAACTTTTAAGTTGAGTGAACTGCAGCCAAAAAGTACCTGGTTAAGGCTTACCTAAGAACTTAAATAGTTAGCAAAACACTTTTTTTCTTCGCGATACGATAAACGCCAGGATTTCGCATGGAAGAGACAACAAACTGACTGAAACACAGTACACAAATTATCACCTTCTTATCTGCAAAAACCGACCTAAATGGTTCAAACACAAGAGTCCGCAGAAACTAGACCTAGATCCAATTTTCCTGAGTCGACAATTGGTTTTTCAAGGAAAAATCAGCTAAGATAAACACCGACGAAACGTTTTTATTGCTGGGTCAGAATATTTTGGTGCATCAAATCAACCACGCTTCGACATACCTGACGAGTTCTGCCTGTCAAGTGTCAACACCATGCGGAAATCACACAATCATACACTTCCGAGGCATTGATACGACTATCGACAACCACGCATAATCTTATCTCGTTTAACACAAGCGAAATATCATCAAGTAACTCGGAAAAATTCAGCTTATTAGCAGATAAACACCTTTTGACTTTTCCCTTACATTCGTCTTATTCAAGTTCCCGTATGTACGGTCGCACGGTCGGCAGACCAGCTAACACTGTGTTTTCACACCAGAAAAGAGTCTTGGCCTGGGTCAAGTTCACCTGCAATTTTGCTCTCACCTAATTCGTTTGACTCCTAAAAGCCTGTTCCAGAGGCCAAAGACTTAGTCGTCACCTTAGAAAAACGAACAATATCGTACCTTTCTGTCTCAGCCCGGATCAGGGTGATTGATCCGTTTAGCCAAATGAAACGAGAATACTAAAATACGATATTGTACGATGCAGACTCTGCGAATTGACTTTGTCCTATTTCAGAGCTTTATATGATGCTCTCCGGGAAACTTTTCTCAAAGTAACCAATATCTAAAAGTAAACTGCTACACGGCACCGAAAATACCTTAAGGCGCGCACTGATTTCAAATAACTGTCACTTGTATTAAAGAGAGAATTGTGGGTACGGACGAAAAAAAAAAGAGGGAGGAGGGAGGGGTAAGATAGTAATTCTGTCTACATCCACTTCTACACAAATCCCTATCCACAAATCAAGCAAAAACAACAGGACATAAGCAAGCAACACAATAACAGTCAAGCTATTAGGCAGGGGAAGTTGAGAAAAATTCCAAAATGTTTGCTAACCCGGTTTTCATAACTCCAGGTAGATATAAGTACCTTATAATAACCCATTGTCCCTTTTAATGTCAAAAAAAAAAAAACTCTTTCTTTCTTTCAAAACTTCGGAGATTTTGCAAAGAGCAGATTTGCTTCGGCACTTTTTCTCAATTTTTGGGAAAATTGCAGAAATCGCAGATTTTGCCGGGCACCCTTCTACCTCCTCTTCCTTTTACCAAATTCTTCGATTTCTCCAGTTTTTTTTGTAATTTTTGGAAAATCGCAGACATGGCACCTTCTGCTGGATACCTTTCAACCTCCTTTAACACTTAAATTGATTAATTTTAGCAATTTTTGCCATTTCTCCAATATTTTGGAAAAATCGCAGAAATTGCAGTTTTTACTGGGCGCCCTTCTACCTCCTCTAACACTTGAATTTAGTAATTTTAACAAATTTTGCGATTTCTCCAATTTTTTTTACAGTTTTGGGAGAAATCGCAGTTTTTTTTCTGGGCGCTTTCCACCTCTTCTAACACTGAATTAGTCAATTTTCGTGTTTAAGAAAATTCTGCGATTTCTCCAATTTTTCGAATTTTTTGAAAAATGGCTGGAATCCCAGTTTTTGCTGGGCACCCTTCTACCTGTGCTAACACTTGAATTATAACCTGAATTACCTACGATTGCTTGTGAAAAAAAAAAAAAAAAAAAAAAAAAAAAACAGTTTCCCCCCCTCGGGGCGTAAAACGGTTTTCTTCCGTCCACATAGAAACGCAAAGAGATCTTTCGAGAAAAAAACTTCATTGCATTCTTATGCTTCCTAAAATTAAGTTTACCTCTATACATAAGGGAAGGAAATTTAATTTTTTTTTAGCGGTTGCTTTGATCTGGTGATTTTGGTTGATTTTTCACGGGATCGCTCTTAATCAGTGCTTTAACTAATACTGCAGTGAAAATGAGTCGGGGAAAAAACTTACGGTTGCTTTTCAGAGGTGTTTTCGCTAACCATTGTCTTCTCGGCCACGAGTACTTTAGTTATGCAGCTGGCGAAGGCCAACGTTATTGTTAGAAAATGTACCACTACCACGACTGCATCCCCGATGATGTGAAAAAATGCGATCTGTACAGTTCCAACGCCTTTAATTGTTTCGAAAATCGATCCAAAAGCTCTCAACGTAATAAACATCGTGTTGAAGCCGTAAAGATAGCCAGCTATAGCCAAAATCCTGTTGTTGTTTACTGATTCCGATTCCACCCATGTGACAATTCTCAGTGGCAGTACGGCAAAGATATAAACAACAAAGATAAGGAAATCGAAAGCATTCCAACGATCCCTACAATGAAAACGAAACAAAACAAAAGTGAAAACAAACCAAACATAATAAAATCAACAAAACATGATCTATATCCACACCTCATCCCCGTCAGTCTTGGTACAAAGTAGGATCGTATTTACACCTTAACGATTTTGAAAAGGTCTTACTCTGCTAATAAAACTTTAGTTATTGTTACAGGACACGCCAGAAGGGTTTAAGGCTTTAAGGCTGCAGAAATAGAACGAGGAATTCCCTCTTCGTGTACCCCCCAAAACCGGAATCTCCCAGGTTGTAGAAGGCCTAGATGTAATAAACGACCCTAAATGTAATAAAGTCCTAAATGTAACAACTTTTTGTCCTTAAATGCAATAAAGTCCTAAATGTAATAACATTTTGTCGTAAATGTAATAAAATCCTAGGTGTAATAACAATTTTCTCTAAATGTAATAAATTCTTACGTTAGCATCAACAGTAACTACGCGAATAAGCGCCACCTTGGGGAGAAAAGTTAATAAGTGCCGCAGCGTTTATTCGCATAAATACGGTACTAAGCGGTATTACTATGGTATCAAGCATCACCCTCAAATAAGCTCCGCGGTGCTAACTCGCGCAAATTCGATACATGTTCCATTTTCCCGTTTACGATTTTGGAAGAATAGTTCCCAGTGCCGAGAAATACTGCTGTAAGTAAAATACGGAATGGCGTTATTTCGTTGATATAACAACTTCGATGTCATTGCAACCCTGATCATAACAAATTTTCATCTTTATCGAATACAACTATGGTGGCAATTTTTTCAAATCTTTGTTTATGGCCACGTAGTTTACGCTCAAACTTGGGAAGTATTGACACTGAAAAACTATATCAAGCCACCTTAAAATGTCAGCTTACACGAACAAATTGCCACTGCAGCATGTTTGTAAAGATTATTTTTAAGGTTCAGCCGACGAGGGAATGGCTAAATAAAGTAAATTTGTCGAGTTTTCAACTCAAAAACGTTTTTAAATTGGTGCTTGTATCGTAAACCATGTTTACGATACTCTCATGCAAATACACCTCTTGGTTGCTTGTTCCAGGAGTTCAGATAGGTTTAGGTGTTATTTGCCATGTTTAGTTAATTTCTTATGTAAATTAAGGCGCAGTTGAATATTTTTATAGGCACTGCGCGCTACAGATTTTTATTAACAATAATAGGGACTTTACGATCTTACTACGCGACGGCAACGAGAACGTCAAAAATAATAAGTTTAGTACACAAAACAACGGCTTTGCTCGTGCATCTCACTTTTTTGCACATTTCTTGGCCGTTTTTGCACGACTACGACGTGGAAATTGCTGATTTTACTTTTTAGGGAGGACGTAAACGAGCGACGACGAAATTTTATCCTCTCTCTAAGCTTGAATATAGTTCCTAAAAATTAAATTCCTGGGGGGTTTGCCTACATTTGACAAAGTTGGAATAATGGCAATGAAGACGGGAAGAACGAAAGTTCATTTTTGAAGCGACGTTTTCGCTGCCGTCGCGTTATCAGATCGTAAAGTCCCTAATAGGGAGTTCACGATCGAGATAATCCAGAAGATGACGCCGGCTGTCCTGGTGGCCGCGTCGCGCCTGGGCACTTGTATGTAAATGACGTTACGATCAATCATTTCAGGCGGCGGCGGACTCTTTTTAGCGGGAAAATTTACTTAGCACCAGCCTGAAATACTGAAAACCTGCTCACCAAGCATCGATTCGATACAAGCAAGCATTGTCAGAAAAAAAATATAAGTAATAACAAATTATGCCAAACCTAAGAGAGACTAGGATTTCCCTTCTTTATGCTTATGATTCGAGCATCATCAACGATGAAGAATTCGTCTTGCTGTACGATAACAACACTTTAAAAAGCCCTAACTTTCCCTACTGGAACTACGAGGCCTTGAACTCGACATGTCCGACGATGAGTGTCAAGCAGAATTTGGTATTTACAAGAACGACGTCTATGACTTAATGGAGGTCTTGGCTTTTCCAGAGACATTTACGTTCTACAATGGCTTAACGGTAAATGGCACTGAGGCTCTTTACATCTTTATAAAAAGATTTGCGTAACCTTGCCGTTAGCTCTGTATGACAAGTAACATGGTTATGGACTATTTATATAAGCACTGAAGTTATTTGCTAATCTCGCTAAATCAGCCTTGGCTTTCGCCTGATAATTTGGAGACATTCGCTAATGCTGCTTTCTTTTCAAGCTGTCGGAGCTTTGCGGAATTGTTTTGGATTTGTCGATGGAACGGTCAGACCTGTTTCCCGACCCGACAAAAATCAAAGAGTATTGTCATATTCCTAGACTTTCACTCAACAAAACAGGGACACTGTCATTGGTTGATTGCTGGTCACGTGGTCTTGACTAAAATCAAATGTATTCCGATCGTGATACATTAAGCAATGTACCCCGCTCGTGATACATTACAGCACGTGATCAAGGCATGGTGCAAAGTGGCGTGATTGAAAGCGGGAATTTTAACTTTGGTTAATGAGCACAGCAAAACAAAAAAAATATGGAGTCTGAACCTGTAAGGAAACGATTCAAATAGCTCACAAATGAAGAGATTCAGGAACTGGTTGAGGCCAAAGATTCCGAAAATACAAGCAAAGCGACTAAAAATGCCGTTGCTACTTTTCTATCGTTCTGTAATAAAGTTACGCCTGAAGAACTTGTGACAAACACAGAGTCCATGGAGAAAATGTCGAAGAACGAACTGAATGAAGTTCTAACTAACTTCTAGCCGAATGCTTGGAAAAAGAACGGAGACAATTACAAAAAGACTGCCTTGATGGGACTACGATTTGGTCTGCAAAGGCACTTTCTACTGAAAAGAGATTTTGACATCATTAATGACAGCGAGTTTTCCAAACCAAATCAAGTTTGTGAGGCGGCAGTTGTCGAGTTAAAGCGGCAAGGATTTGGCAGAGTTGATCACCACAGGCCGATATCAAAGGAAGATCTAGAAAAAAATCAGTCTTGTTACAATCCATCCTCTCCAGATCCTAAATCCCTCCAGGAAGTGGCTTGGTTTACTGCGCTTTTCACAAACATGCGAATTCTGAAGTTCAAAAGCCAACTGACGATTGCGTTTTAGCTGCCGTCAATCATCTTAACGGACCTCTTAGGAAACAAAACTTTACTTTAACGGGTTCAAAAGGTCATGGTTTGTGATTTATAATTGGTGGATTTCGATCCGTTTTGTGTGTTTCTGTGTTTCAAGGTTCGTTGCTTGTGATCGTAATTATGATTGACGGCAGCGGAAAACACAATTGTGAAGGCGGCTTTTGAACTTTAGAGTTTGCATGTTTGTGAAAAGCGCAGTAAATCTCATGTTCCACTAAATTCGCCGCGGGAGAGAAAATCTCCGTCTTCTTACAAAACAGACGTTTGCCATGCAGGTTGATGCAACTGGTAAGAAGTACGTATATCAAGCACTTATTGATGAACTGGACAAAAATCACAGGGGAAAGGATCAACCAGATGATTCTCCAGGTGAAGGCCGTATGTATGAAAGACCGAAGAGTCCATACTGTCCAGTAAAATTTTTCAACTGTATTTATCAAAGCTTAATCCTAGTTTGTCCTGTTTGTGGCAAAGGTTGAAGGCGCGTGAAAGTTTTAGCGAAAGTGATGAAGTTTGGTATTGTAATGCTCCTCTCGGAAAAAATACGCTAGCTACGTTAATGAGTTCCATTTCAAAGGAAATGCAATTGTCTTATCCACGAGGAGCCGCAAGCAATAAAATTTCTGTCCCGTAATTTAATCAGTTACATCATCAAAGTTGACAGGTTTTTCTGATAATCAAAGCGACCGCTCGGTTTACCATTTACACCTTCAGTGCGAAGACTGTCACAAGAACATTAACACCTTCAGCATAACTGCTTACCATGACAGTGGTACGTCGCGCACGTCTGGTCGGTTTTAAAGAACTTGACCGTGACCGTTGTTTTCATCCAGTGGCTGTTCGCGTCGATATGTCAACTTTTAAACCAGAATGAAACATTAAATTTTTGTTATACATTATGTAGAAACAAAGAGACCGCTGAGTAGAAACTAAACCGTCCCAAAGTATTCCGTTTCATTCGTGTAATTTCATTTTGATGGGGCCTGTATGATAAATTTACGTCACGTAAGTAAACAAGATCAAGATGTAAAACATTTCATTTTCTTTGTGGAGAAAATTCATCTTTAAAAAGTCCAACTGGTGAGCCACTTTCTTCGCGTACATGTAAAAATGCGCATTTAATATGTCGCGCTGAAGTGGGAAAAATTTCTTGTCGTGTATTAGATTTCAGTATACATATTGTTAATCTTAATTTCGCGCCAAAATAAATTAGTTTGCGCGCAAAGGGCTTCTCAAAAAATCACAAGGTTTGTCCCACTTCTATAGCTAGTCCACCTTCTGGAGATACGCCGACTTGGTAGCTGGAATACATTGCCGAGGCGAAGATCTGGCATTTTTTCCTCTTCGCCGTTTTTTCCCACGACATTTGTTTATATGAATGCATCGGTGGATTTTACTTCATGCGGCTTCAGTTCATGCGGCTTGCTACTTGTGGAAGAAGAGTGCCGGATTCACTTTGTTGGCCTTTAATTTTTTGGCGAATGCAAGGTAAAAGAACGGACTACTGTAAGGTAAGAATTGAAGTTTTAAATTTGTTTCCGGCGAAAAATACTGCACAGAACTCGTGAAACCCGTGAGTGTTACCTCTGCTTAATATATCAAATGTCATGTAATGACTCCTCACTTTTTCGTTGGGCAACAAGGATACAAATAATGATTTCTTTCGCAAATTTAATCATAATTCACTTATCGAGACCATTTGAGGACGATTATTCAGTTCGTTAAATGCTTCATTAGTTGCATGGTGTCTTATTTCGGCTACGTGCGAGGAGTTAGATGACAATGTCTGGGTGCTATAATTATGCTGATAATTTCTTGCACCTTTGTACTAAAACTCATGAGAGCCATACTTGTTTAACCCTAGCAAAAAACTCTTATATTATGGAGAAACTTTCCCTGATGGTTACACTAAAATCTAATAATCACTGCATTTCGGCTCTCTGTAACCTCTAATAATCACTGCATTTTCGTGGGTAGAACATACCTGATGGTTACACTAAAATCTAATGATCACTGTATTTCGGCTCTCTGTAACCTCGTGGGTAGAACATACCTGATGGTTTCACTAAAATCTAATAATTCACTGCATTTTCCCTCTGTAACCTCGTGGGTAGAACATACCTGGTGGTTAAACCAAAATCTAACAATCACTGCATTTTCTCTTTGTAACCTCGGGGGTAAAAAATTGAATGTCTCTCTCCTGGAAATTTTGTCCTCTCCTTTTGAGCATGCTCAACGATCTACAAGTAGAACACTTTGTTTTTAACAGATTTGATATCATTTGGTTTTTTGAGGGAGGCTGGTAGGGCTTGGCGAACTTCTAAACCAAAAATCTTTATCTCACCTACTAATACATTTACAGAATACATTGATGGAATAGAAAAAAAAAAGCTGACAAAAGGCTTTATAAAATGCGCCATGAAGATGTCAAAGAACAAAACAGGCTGAAGTTTTCTAGCTAGCCCTAAGAAAAACTATTCCTGAAAAGCAGCTCTGATTCCTTTTTCCTAACTAGAAAATGCATATCCCCGTGAACCAGATTTTTACCAGCAGCGATTCGTCGAGTACACTGTTTTGCTACACTGAGTGAGAACGTGACAATCACTTCTGATGCTTTCTTTGACACGAGTTCCTATTTTGATACGTCTAATTTAAGTTTCTCGGCGTGATAGCTCTTCATTAGCGAAAAGCTCTAAGTGATATTTTGATTGACGTGTTGTTTAGGATCCTGAGGTTTTTAAACACCTTCTCTCTGGCTTACGGTAACTGGTGAAGGTATTCAAGAGCAAACAGAGGTAGATTGTCCTCTAGTCGGAAGCACAGTGCCAACATCACCCAACACGATGCAAAATTTCGCATCGCAAAGCCAGGAAACGGTTAACTTTAACGCAGGAAAATTTTCAGGAGCAACTGTTACTATAAATTTTTATAAATGTATTTCCGAGTGATTTTCTTTGACCTTATCTCAATCTTGAGCTTTTCAGTCCAGAAATTACTTTTCCATATACTTTGTACTAAGTAATTCATTCAGAGATTTGAATTAAATGTGCTCTTTGAAGTACTGACATTGTGTTCATTCGTTCTTCAATTCTTTGTTACTGTTGAAGTAAACGCCTTGGAACATAACAAAACACTCAATGTCAGTTCCCTAGGGAAACCAGTTAGTTTTGTTTTCCCGAGAGTTCTGCCTGATGTTTCCCGAGACGAAGTCGAGGGAAACATCAGGACTCTCGGGAAAACAAAACTGTTTCCCTCAGGAACTTAAATTAAGTGTATACAGTATAACGGACACAAAAAAGTTCACGCCATAAAATTTCAATCCGTTGCTGTTCCAAACGGTCCGGTAGCCAATTTGTTTGGAGCGGTAGAGGGAAAACGACACGATAGTTCAATGCTAGAGGAGTCTAGTTTATACAATCAACTGGTATTATATTCTAGGGCCATAAATGGAGACCCGTTATGTTTGTATGGTGACCCTGCGTACCCTCATCGTCCGCAGTTGCAAAGTCCTTTTAAAGGAGCAAGGTTTACTCAGAACGAGATGGACTGGAATAGTGCCATGAGTAGTGTGAGGGTATCAGCGGAATGGATGTTCAAGGACGTAATTAATTACTTTAAATTCTAGCTAATTTATACAACAGGATAATTTAAAGTTAATGTGATAACCATAAACCCGCCCTTACCAGTAATGGAACCAGCTCACTTCCTTTCAGGGGTCACTTCCTGCATGCGACCCCTGTCACACTAATTGTTTCGCTCAGGCAATTAGATGCCAGCTATCACATGAAGAGTTGATGGCTATATTTTCGCGCCTAGCTCAGCAAAATAGCACTTCATATTCTTCTCTTCGTGGAACAAAATCCCCTCCCACCCTCCCTTATTACTGCTTGATTCTTTCTGCTGGTTTTCTTAAGGTTTTATATATGAGGTCTTCTCTCTTGCTTAAAAATTTAAGAAGCTGCTTATACTTTTCGCAGTCATAAGAACTACTGATCTTTGTTGTTTACACTTTGAATCAATTGGCAATTGTCAAGAAGATATGGCAGAAAAGAGGTGGGGTTTCTAATGAGGGGAATCATTCTACTAGGCATCCTAACATGCTTGTGCACTTAGTTACTTTGGGCCTTACTTTGATTATTAAGTTGATAAAAGTTTAACTGTCATTTACTTACAACTTGTATTAATATATTTTCGTCTAACCTCTCTCCCTCGAGGTTCATGTTAAGTGTCTGGCTCTGCTTTCGGGAGGGTTCAGGTTTCCCCTTAAAAATAATTGAGGGTTTTTCCTGACGGGCAGCAGGCACGCAATTCTAGCTTAAATTAGTGATGATATCTGTACTGAGAGTTGTTGCAATTAATAAACATGGGTTCGGGATGAAGTGCTCCCATACAGGTCACACTTTGCCCCATAGACTCTTGTTACTCCTTAAACAGGGGAATTAGACATCTAGAGAGGTCTTTCCACCTCTCCAGTACCCAAGGGGGATTATCACCTTGGGGGATTATCAACCCCTAGAGAGGATTATCACCTAGCTTCTCACTATCCTGGGGGATTATCACTCCCTAGAGAGGATTATCACCTCTCCCCTTGTAGATTTCGGGCTGTTACACCAACATGTACAGAAAAGTGACCTGCTGTCCATATTTGGAGTACTTCATCCCTTACCTCTTTTCCTCATAATAATTCTGGTCTAGTTACTTGCTTTATCAAAGGGGTTATGGGTTAAGAGCATTAATAGATTTTAAAAAGAATTTACAAGTGCAACTCAATGCAGTTGAAAACAGGTACATTGCTTGCACTTTACTTTACAATGTTAGGTACTGCTTATATAGTTCAACAACTTCCAAATATATATTTTGAAGTCCAACCACCAACACCGCAAGTCAGAATATTTTTTGTATACAGCTGACATTCCTGTATCATAATTGTCAGTTCTGTCGATAACAAGATTCAGTGTTTGACATATGATTTTTTTTTTACTGCACCTCACTTTATTGTACTGCTAACGTTTAGCTTTATTCGGTAAAAAGCGTGGTTACTGATAGTAAAAACCAGTACTGCACCCTGCAGTAAAGTTAGCAAAGTTGTATTCTGCAGTTGCATTCGTGAAGCAGCTGCTCCTGTTGTTTCTGTTGGCTTTTAATGCTTTTATCTTAGTTTTAATGCTTTTATGTTAGTTTGTAAGATCCTCCTGCTGTGCCATAACCCCCACTCGCTGGACTTTTTTTTCATCAAGCTCCGCCCTTCTCAATTGCAGCTCCCCCTATTTAGGCTTGCATCTAATTCAGCCTTTTCTCTTAAGTAGGCAACAGTTTCTGTGCCGGTGGAACGTTTGGATTTCTTTCTTCTTGTTCACCCTTCCTCTTTTCGCTACGGGCAAAAGTCTCCATTGAAGATTTACGCATTTCT